ACCACTGGTAAATCTGACAAAGGAAAAGAAAATGTAAATAACTCAAATAAGAAATGGAATGGATGGAATCATAAGAGAAACAACTGAAACAAACTGGAGAATTGCAAAATACGATGAACTGTAACTCAACAAATTTGAAAACCTAGAAGAAGTGGACAAATTGTTAGCAACCCAAACCAACACAGACTGAAGTACAAAATTTGAACAGGCCCCTAAAAAAAGTAGAAATTGAACATGTCATTAAAAAACTCCCCCAAACAACAAAAAAACTCCTGGTCTAGAGAGCATCAACCGGAGAATTCTACCAAACATTCAGAGAAGAGCTGATACCAATTCTATTCAAACTGCTCTAAAATAGAGAAAAGAATGGAATGTTTCATTTTATGATACATACATAACTTATACCCAAACCAGGCAAAGACATCACTAAAAAAGGAGATTGTAGACCAGTATCTCTCATGAATGTAGACGTAGAAAGTCTCAAAATCCTAGACAATAAAATCCAACAACATAACAACAACAATAACAAAATTCCTATTATGAGCAGGTGGTATTCACAGTAGGCATGCAAGTATGGCTGTAACATTAGAAAAATAATTACCCACTTAAATAAAACAAAGGAAAAAAATCATGTGATCATATCAATTGATACAAAAAAGGCATTTGACAAAATCCAATATCCATTCTTGATAAAAAAATGCTCAACAACACAGGAATGGGAGGAAATTCTCTCAACGTAAAGCCATATTGTGGTGGTTGTTGTTAACGCTCTTGAATCAGTTAGACCCACAGTGACCATGTGGATAAAACCAATTGTCAAAATTATGCTAAATGGAAATATACTGAAAGAGTTCCCTTTGTAAATGGGGAACCAGGCTAAGATACCTGTTATCGCCTCTCCTGTTCAGTACTGTGTTGGAAGTCTTAGACCAATAAAGCAAAATGGGAAACGAAAGTCATCCAGATTGGAAAAGAAGCAGTAAAATGATATCTATTTGCAGATGATATTTTCTATCCTACGCATAGAAACACCTAAAACTTAGCAAGAAAATTACCAGAATTGAAAGGTTCAGTAAAGTGGTAGGGTATAAGATCAACATACAAAAATCAGTTCTACTCCTTTACCCTAACAAAGATAATCCTTAAAAGGAAATCAGGAAAACAATAACCATTTATAATAGTCATGTTGTTAAGAATAAATCTAACCAGAGAAACAAAAGATCTATAAGAAGAAAACTATAAAACATTGCTATAAGAAACCAAAAGAGACACATACAAATAGAAGACTGTACCATGCTCATGGGTAGGAACACTTAACATTGTGAAAATGTCAGTATAACTCAAAGCACTCTGCAAGTATTATACAGTTACTATCCAGATTTCATAAGGAGCTCTGGTAGTGTAGTGGTTACGAATCGGGCTGCGAACCTTAAGGTCAGCAGTTCGAAACTACCAGCTGCTCTGCAGGAGAAATATGAGACTTTCTGCTTCTGTAAAGATTTACAGCCTTGGAAATCCTGTACAGGGTCGCTATGGGTCAGAACCGACTCGACGGCACTTAACAACAACAACAACATCCAGATTTCATTGTCATTCTGTAATGAGATGGAGACACTCATCACCCACTTTATATGGAAAGAGGCACTGGAGAAGTGAAGTACCGCTAAAGAAGGAGAAGAATGCAGGAGGCCTCACACTTCCCAACCTCAAACTCTGCTACTACACAGCCACAATAGTCAAAACAGGTAAAATGACAGACACGTAGACCAATGGAACAGAACTGAAGAACCTGGAAATAAATCCATCCACCTATAGATAGCTGTGGAGTCCTGGTGTGGCTCTGTGGGTTAGTGTGTTGGACTGCAAAGTTGGTTTGAATTGCAAGGTTGGCAGTTCAAGCTCACCAGCCACTCCTCGGAAACCTTATACAGGGTCGCTATGGGTTAGAACTGACTTCACAGCACTTAACAACAACAATAGTAGCTAGCTGATGATTGTCCCCCAAACTCCTGACATGGGAAGAGACAGTCTCTTTAACAAATGGTGCCGGCAAAACTGGATATCGCTTTGCAGAAAACCTGAAACAAGACCCCATATCTCTCACCCTAACAAAAACAAATTCAAGATGGATCAAAGACCTGAATGTAAAACTGAAAACTATAAGGACCACCAAAGATAAGATAAGGACAAACTTCGAGGTCCCAATATGAAGGGCTTCAAGAAGTTTGTGGAAAAACAAAATGAAACTTTTCATGAACTTTTTGACACCCCCTTGTACTTGGCATAAATATACTCTGTCAAATGTAACTGAAAACCCACCAGCAGCAGAAGACAAGTTAGATGGCTGAGATGCCCGAAAAATCGAATCCTTATCTTAGTGTGGCGATGTAGGATAATGAACTGGACCGCAAAGTCAGTTTGAATAGAAACGTCAGTGGTTCAGATTCAACTGCCACTCCTCGGAAACCCTATACAAGGTTGCTAAGAGTTGGAAAAAACTCAATGGCACGTAATAACAACATGCTCATCAAAAGATTTCACCGAAAAAGTAGAAAGAGAACCCACAGAGTAGAAAAATATTTTCGGCAGTGGCACATTGGATAAGGAAGTATTCTGTAAAATTTATAGACAACTTCAACACCTCAACAAGTAAAAGGCAAAAAAATAATCCAATTTAAAAATAAGCAAAGGACATGAACAGACACTTCACCAAAAAAGACATTCAGGCAGCCAGCAAGCACATGAAGAAATGCTCACTATCAGTATCATGGTGCAATGAATGAGTTAGCCAGTTAGTTCTGATTTATGGCGACTCTGTATAGGGTTTCCAAGGAGCAGCTGGTGGGTTTGAACTGTCAGCCTTGTGGTTAGCAGTGCAGTGCTGATCCTTCAGTGCCATACCAGGAGTCTTTAGCCAGTCTTTGTAAACTCTCACCAAGTGACTTTTCCCTGATGAATCTAGATCTAAAACAACGTGAGGACGATGCTGGGGGTTGGTTATATAGTTCCATTGTGAGGATTGTGAACAAGGCTCATAGTGATTGGTCAGTTTTGTCATCCTGCGTACTGATGAAGATCAAAGACCACAGCCTTCAGTATGGATCGCACCTCAATGTAAAGAAAACAAAGATCCTCAGTGTAAAATCGGAAGACCCCCAACGAGATGCCTGTGACTCATAGTGACCCCATGCACAGCAGAACAAACCACTGTCCAGTCCTGCGACATGCTCACAGTTGTGAGCCCATTGCAGCTTCCTCTGTGCCAATCCATTTCATTAGGGGTTTTCCTTCTTTAATTTCTTTTTTAGTGACCTCCACTTTGCTAAGCATGATGTTCTTCTCCAGGGACTGGTCTCTCCTGATAAGTAAGACGAAATTTCACCATCTTGGGTTCTAAGGAGTTGTCTTCCTGTATTTCTTCCAGTGTAGATTTGTTTGTTCTTCTGATGGTCCATGGTACTTTTAATATTCTTCTCCAACAAGAAGGTAGACATGTAATAACTTGGTTGAAGAGGAAGACAATATACAATAAGGGGAAAGTCAGCAAGAAATGAAAAAGGAAAAAGAAGACATTGGGAGGAATACAAGAATTAAAGGCAACAGGGGCAGATACATTTATATATACAATTCTATAATAACCGTAATCTCTGAGTGGTTGTAGAGGTCAACACCTAAACTGAACAGGTGTGGGAAGGAGAATGGGGCTATTCCCACTAATATACATAAACTTGACAGGCTATTTCTTCATTTGTATTTACTATGCTGTAAATATATCCATGAATATAATAGAGCTGTTGTTGTTAAGTGCCATTGAGTCGGTTCCGACCCATTGTGACCCTGTATAGGGTTTCCAAGGAGCAACTGGTGAGCTTGAACCACCGACCTTGAAGTTCAAAGGGCTTTGCAGTCTGACGTGTTAGCCCACAGCGCCATACCGAGAACAAATTTATAAAAACTTCTTAGTTAAAACTGAACACCTTGACAGAAGGTATCATTGGGCTTGATGCTCAGAACCGTCTTGGAGGACATCTATGTCAATGGGTCTAGTTCACATAGGCAGTGCCCACCCAACACCCTACTTTGGTGATTCCCAGTGGATCTTAAAGCTTGTGAGTGGCCATGTAAGGTGTAACTATTGGTCTCTCCCCATCTGGAGCAAAGGAGAGCGAAGGAAACTGAAATCTGGAGACAGTCAAGTGGACTTATTAGGTGAACCTCAGCCTCCAGACTGAGACCAGAACTAGGTGTGAGCTAAGGATCTCATTAGAAGGTCCTGGATACAGTGGGAGAAAAATGTGGAACAAAACTCAAAATTGTCAAGAAGATCATCCTTACTATGATAGAGACTAGTAGAACCCCTGCGACCAAGGCCCTCAGTCTTCCAGTTTGGAACTGAACTCACCTCTGTGGCTCAGGTTTCAGCCAGGTGGTGGAAGGTAGCACTAGGGAACTCTACACTCCTTGGGTAGGTTAATCTTTTGAGATGAAAGGGCAGCCTTTACCCAAGGACAGAGTTCAGAAAGGGAAGAAGGAGGGATGGCAATGGAAAATAGGGAGGATGTGGAAGAAATGATTCAGTGTGGAGGCTGAGTCAGGAATATGAAATCGCATGTGTATTCATTGGCAAATGCACAATCGGAACTTCTGTGTGTTTGTTGTTTGCAAAGAAGCCATTTCCAACCAAGGTCACGTTCATGGATGCAGGGGTTAAAAATAAAACCTAACTTTTGGTAGGACACGATTCAGTCCGCAACAGAAGCCCAAAAGGCTTTAACTTCTTGTTTATTTCTGGGCATTTGGGTCCTAGGATCCGTAGCCATGGGGTTGCGTACTGCGGGAATGGTGAGTGTGTTGTGGTGACAGGCCACCAAAGGCATCTCATTCTCTTTGGAGGCATCACGTGAGCATGTCCGAATCTATACCAGTGTGGCCATGACGTACTTGCCTGCTGTAATGACGATATTTATTAATGGTCTCCCTGTTTCTTTGTTCTGATTTAGGAGGCAACCTTTCTAAACAAGACTGGACCATCCAGTGGCCCACGACAGAGACTGGAAAGGAGAACACTCCTGTGTGCCCTCCAGAGCCAGCCCCTTGGGCCCGCACCCACGTCGCCCAGAGTCCGAAGGTCCAGTCCAAGTGTGTCCAGCACTACTGTCACCCCAGCTCTACCCCTGGGGCCCCCGTTTACACCCATGTGGACAGACTTACTGTGGACATCTACCCTGGCCTGTGCCCGCCACCGCTGGAGTCTGGCCACCGTTCCCTGCCTCCATCACCTCGGCAACGGCATGCAGTCCGCACTCCGCCGCGCACTCCCAACATCGTCACCACCGTGACTCCACCTGGCACGCCGCCAGTGCGGAGGAAGACCAAATTGAAGCCCCCAGGGACCCCGCCTCCCTCCTCCCGCAAGCTGATCCACTTGATCCCCGGCCTCACAGCGCTGCATCGAAGCAGATCCCATGAATTCCAGCTGGGCCACCGCGTGGATGAGGTCCACACGCCCAAGTGAGTACATTTGATGGACGCTGCTGGGCACGTGGGCCTGGGATGGTCTCCGGGAAGCTACGTTTCTCCTCACCCTGTTGATTGAAAGGGGGCATGTGGCTGAGCACCCATGAAAAAAGGGGTAGAATGGAATTTTCCAGCATCGGCCTTCTTTTATCCTATTAGGCTATACAGTAGGGGTTGGCAAACTATGGATTTGAGGCCAAATCCAACCTGCTTTTTTTGTGTATGAATAAAGTTTTATTGGAACACACCACATTTATTCATTTTGGATATTATCTATGACTGCTTTCAGGCTACATGGCAGAGTTGTATGCTTGTAACAGAGATCGTTTGACCTTCAAAGCCAGTAATGTTTACCATCCAACCCTTTCCAGAAAAAGTTTGCCAACCCCTGCAGAGCCATTCTTGGGTTGCCCCTAGAAATAGGATATGAGCTATGGTGGTGGTGGTGGTGGTGGTGGTTATGTGTCGTAGAGTCGGTTCCAACTTATAGAGACCCTGTATAGGGTGTCTGAGGCTGGAAATCTTTACTGTAGCACAAAGCCTCATCTTTCTCCCACGGAACAGCTGGTAGTTTCGAAACGCTGACCTTAAGGTTCGCAGCCCTATTTGAATTTCCTCATAATCACATTAAATTAAAAAACAAAAAACAAAAAATAAGTGATATTAAGTTTAATAATACATTTATCTAACTCAGTATATCAAAATCTTATTTCAGTAGATCATCAATTCAAAATATTGTTATTGTTAGGTGCCATTGAGTTGATTCTGACTTGTAATGACCCTAAGTGATGGAGTGAAACTGCCCGTCGGGATTCTGAGGGTGTACTCTTCACAGGAGCACATTACCAGGTCTTCTCTTCTGTGAGGCTGCCTGATGGGTTTGAACTACCAAACTTTAGTTAGCAACCAAGTGCTAAACTGTTGTGTTATCGGGGTTTCTTTAAAATGGTGAGATACGTTTTTTTTCCTCTTCATGTTAACTTTTCAGAATGCAGTGTTATACATTTATAGTGCACCTTGATTTGGGCCAGTCAGGTCTCCATTTGGGGAGTGGCTACTGTGTTGGGCCTTGAAGGCCGAGATGGATGGACCCTGTGCACCAGGTGTGCTCTCCAGAAGAGCACAGAAGAGATCGTGGACATGGGAGCATGTATGCATGGCTCAGCTTTGGAGGGTGACACCCTGCCTGTAACCATAGTGGTGGCCAGTGGGTGAGATGGGCAGCTCTCTGCAGGACCCCTGGCCTTCTTTTTTTTTTTTTGGTGGTTCTCTTTATATTAAAAATGGAATGACTGCTAAATAGACTTGGTACCATGTGTAAAATCTTGACATCTGTAAAATGGAGGGAGTAATAGGACTAGGGGAATCCTGGTGTAGCGCTCTAGGATCAGCACTGGACTGCTGAAAACCCCGTACGGGGACCCGACTCACCACCACCACCACCACCACCACCAACAATGTGGCTGGTAGTACCGAAGCTGTCTAGGTTCAAGGGACTAATACTAAACGGCCTCAGCCCAAGCTGATCCCTACGAGATGAAAGTCAGACAGGCTTCCTCTCAGCCGCCCTCCTCACGTCTCCTCTGCGTTCAGCCACAGTGGCCTAAGAACTCACAGACCATATTTACAGTTAAGTGGCTTACTAAATTACAGGGTACAATGCAGGGTCTAGATCAACAGAATCCAACTGGAGCAGGAAGCAGGCAGGCAAAGTCTGCCTTAGTGCAGCACAGCTCTCAGCTCAAGAGGATTCTTACACTGGGTCCCTTCCAGACCGTCTTCAGCCTTACAGGGCTTTTAGAAGCTCCTTGCCTCCTTTCTCTGCTTCTTGCTACTTAGTGCTGTTGCTTTTCTTCTTTCTGTCTGACCAAAAACCTCCATGGGGCTGGCTGTTTTAGGCGAGGCCCTCCCACCAATGCCATGAACTGGCCCCAAATACTTCATTTGCATAGAAGGTGCATTCTTACCTCATTTGCAGAGTCTATTGGCTCATGCACTGCAAGATGCACACCAATCACAGTTAGGTGCCATTGAGTTGATTCTGACTCCTAAGGACCCTAAATTATGGAGTCAAACTACTCCATAGGGTTTCTTAGGGTATACTCTTCACAGGAGCCCAGGCTACAGCCCAGGGACAGACAAAAAAGTATCAAACCAACTTGTTTACAGATTTCCCAGGAAATGTCAGGCAGCCTGGACAAAAGCTACCCTCTGGGGTAGAAAACTTGGGCAAAGGTAACTCCTCAGAACATGGTGCAAAATCTCTCAAACCAGGTTTCCAAAGAACCAAGACAGAAGACCATATAAAAGCAACGTATTTCACAACATCTAATGGAATTGATATTTAAAATATTTTTTACTTAAAAAAACACAAAACACTTTTAAGTCATAAAAAATAAAATGACTATATATCATCAATTAGGAGTTGTTGTAAAAAGCCCAAATTTGAAACCCATTGTGTGGGAGAAAAGTCCTTGGGTGGTGCAAACAGTTAGTGGGCTCAGCTGCTGTCCCAAAGGTTGGTACTTGTAGTCCAATGAACAGCACCTCGAAAGAAAGTCCTAGAGGTCTGCTTCCAAAAAGTTATCCATTGATAACTGTGTGGAACACACCTCAACTCTGAAACACATGGGGTCTGCAGGAGATAAAGTTGATTTGATGGTAACTGGTTTTGGGTAGGAAAAGCTCAGCCTCTAACCTGTAGCTTGTCACCCCTCTGAGGTCTGAGATTCCACAGAATGTCCTGGGGAGGAGCCAGAGGTAAGACCCAAACAGATTTACAGAACACATCAGCTTTCCATTCAATAGTTCTGTGCATTTTATTTTGAGCCATTGATTGTAATCCCCACAATGCAGCGTCACTTATCCCACGTCCTCCTCGTGGTTCCCGTCATCACTCCTCCTCATCACCTATGTCTTCCCACCTCCCGAGCTTTCTCCCTGCACACTGTTGCCCTTTGGATCCCATGTGCTTGATGATTCTACGGTGAGCCTACTGATGGACTGATGGACTGGAAATTGAGTGACTAAGGGCCATGGTCTCAGAGGTCCACCAGTCTCTATCTAACCAGTAAGCCTAGTATTTTTATGATTTTGAGTTTTGGTCCACATTTTTGAGTTTCTAGAACCTTCTAATGAGATCCCTTTCAGAGCAGTTGGTAGTGGTAGCCAGACACCATCCAGTTCTCCTGGTGTGAAGATCATGGAGGCTGAGATTCATGAGGCCCATGAGTCCATTGGTCTCATTGTTTTGTGTTTTGGCTTTCCTCATTCCTCTTTGCTCCATACAGGGAGAGACCCATATTTGCACCTTAGATGGATGCTTACAAAGTTGTTATTCATCAAAGTATGATGTAGAACATTGTCTTTGTGGACTATATTGTACCAGTGGACCTTGATGTCCCAGATCCTATGGTCTTGTGGTACCAGCTCTTCTTTGTTGTCATTGTAAATGCTGTCGAGTCCTGATTCATAGTGACCCTGTCTAGGGTTTCCAAGGGGTAGCTGGTGGGTTTGAACCGCCAACCTTGTGGTTCATTTCAACCTTGCGGTCCAGTGTATGGAGTCCCTGGCTCTTCTAGGAGAAGTAAAATGCATAGGTCGTGGTTGAACCCTGCTCTCACCATAACCTCCTATAACAGTGCCCAGATGCCCACTTGTTTTCACCTCAGCAGTGTGTCCAGGGCTGGTCCCTGTCATGTGTAGAATCGTTGTGCCTCTGAGTGAGGATATCCTTGTCCGGTGTGTGGGCTTGAGGACAAGTAGTGGCCCGTCTGTCTTTGGCAGCCTGTCTTTTGCCACAGTGCTAGGAGGGGAGTACTTCTCACTGAGCGTTGGGTAAGGCTCCTGGGGCTCTTCGGTACGTGAACCAGGCCCACCACCATGCTCTGCAGCCGCTCCTATGGAAGGTCTCAGAGACACTCAGTCAGGAAAGTAGTTTTCCCAGATTCAGCCAATGCTTTATAAGTTCTCACTCCCAAATGTGGGTGAAACTGGAGCATCAAATTAAAAAAAAAATGTTTTATTGTGAATTATGTGATAGTTTACATGGGAGAACACTAGTTTTCCATTTATCCTATAGTATATCGTTTCATTGCCATGGTTACAGTCCCCTCCATGCATCACCAACCAACCAAAGGGTATACCCTGCAAGCCTGCCCCCTCGTCATCAGCACACAGCCCCTCTCCCTCTCTGGGTCTAAAGTCCCCAGCTGCTCCATTGCTCCACGTCATCATCTCTGCCTCCATCTCTGGTGTCACTGTTTCTCTGGGTAGGGTCCCGCACTCTGCTCTTCTGCCTTCATGGTCCCAGGGACCTCCACTCCTAGACTGAAAAGTTAATCACTCCCCTCCTTTTGCTACAAAACGTCTACCTTTACATTTCCAACCCTCACAGTCAGTCCTGATAACAGTTATTCACTATTGTACCACAAGTGACCTATCCGCATTTCCTTTCATCAGCCCAGCCTAGACAGATTGGATACTACTCAGTGGAGATTCTACCTTTCTCCATGCCCTCTGAATCTAGGCTCCCTCTTGAAAGTTTGTAAGCCAGTCACATCTTGCCTTTGTAGCACCCTTCCATTTTGGGTAGCCAATGTCTAAGTTGCCCATCCCTGTCTACTCTGTGTATGGAGGGGGAGGGAATGATCCTCGCTGTAAAGATTTGTTCTGAAGCACAATTTTACGATGCATCCTGGGATAAATGTGAACCGAAGGGGTTTGGGTCTTTTAAATCTGCCGTCACGACCCATTAGTGGATGGCTGTGTTGTTTTAATGGGCAGCGATCAGCATTTAAAGTAATGAAGTGGACTAGCTTACTTGTCTTGTGTGTATCCATTTGCAGACTGGTCTGTAATTGACACGGCAGGACTGTGTATGTGATAGCAGTTACCTTTGCTGTCTGTAACTATTTTGTGCTTTTCAGTTTCATTCTTTTGCCTCAGTGATATTGTCATGAGCACTGCATTATGGTATATTGCTTTTCCCTCCA